ATGTAATGATAATATAATTTTAAAATAAGTCACTTTTGACTCCAGGTTAGGACAAATGCTTTCGAGCATCAGAAAAGAGAATTGCTTCCAGGCCTAATATTGTACAATGTAAGACCTTTAGGCTAAAAGATAGTTATTTAGATCTTCTAGGCTAACAGCATTTTTCTTGGCACTTTCTAGTCCTCACAGTAGTGAGTCATAGACCTCAAACTGCTATAATTTTCTATCCTATTGTTAATAGCAGGAGACAGACAAGGACCATCAACTAGCATAAAATTAAAGGCCTAATCTTTGACCAGCATCTAATGCCGACACCTTCCAAAGGGCCTGATCTGCTAAATATAACTAAGAGGGGGACAAATTTACCATAGTCACAAAGCCAAGATCTCCTGCTCTTTGAATTTAGATAGAAAGGGAAATTGCACATGGGCCAGAAATCTCCCAATTGCTGTTTACTAAGAGACCACACCCTCCTATCATAGCTTTTCTAGTTCAGGACCAGACAATAAAGGAGGAAATTATCAGCAAGAATAAGGCTTCAAACCCTCTCTTTAGCTATCTGAACAGCCTTGGGTCCTCAGGCATAAATTCTGCACAAGGCAAATAAATCACTTTGCATAATATCAGAAAATCAGTAGGCAGGAGAACTGTACTATTGCTGTTTTCCTTTAACATAAGAAAGGAAGCAGAAAGAGCAAGAGAGAGGGAAAAGAGAGAGAGAGACAGAGAAAAAGGAAAAGCAACCAGGAGGAATCCTGATGTTGATATTTAATAGTGTATACAATACAGTAAGCAGAGGATTAAACAAAGGAATCAAAATGATCTTACAGAACAATCTCACCCTTTAGGATAAAAGGTTTTCTTCATATTTGTAGTAGAATTTAACTAAAGGAAATTTTTTTTTCTTTCATGGCTTTTTGTTTCTACAAACTAAAAAGAGAACCACCCCCCAAAAATTTCCATTATTTTTATTCTTTGCACATTTGTTCAGAGAAATAGACAAAAGCCAGTCTGCCATTGTCCCACCTAGCACTGGTTGTGCCATAAAGCACAACGGCTCTTAAGAAGCTTAAAAGGTCCACCAGATTTAAACAATAGATTAGCAGTCCAAAATACACATTTTACTTGCAAACACATTGAGCCTAATTTATCTCCCTATTTTCTCCAACATCCTAAATTAGAGAAAATGGCATAATAATTAAACACCATATTTCTTGAAGCTGAGTGTTATTTTCTCCCTTCTCCTAATTTTATTACTCTAGAAGAAGTCAATAATGTAAGCCAGGTCACAGCAGAAAGGTCATACACTACTATTTTAATGCTGTAATGTACAAATTTTGTGAAGTAAAAGCCCTTGACCTAAAGACACAGTTCCCATAGTTTACATGTGCTCATTCAGATGACAATTTTCTTCACATAATCCCTAAAGAATGATCCTCCTTGAATCCTTAGGTTAGAAAAAGAGGGCTCTTGGTTTAAAATAAGTACTTACTTAGACTGATGTACTTCAGGCAATGTGGTTTAATGTATAGAATTAAAGTGGCTGAGAGTGCTTGGAAATCTTTGCTCTACATGGGCTAAGTTATTTAAACCCTGAGCTTTCCGTATCTCTAAATTGAGAGACTGCCTGAGACAATTTTTTAAATCCTCCCCAACTCCATACTTCGCTGAGTCAAAACACCAAAAGATAGTATTTTTAATTAAATATGGAGAAGAAACTCCTCGTTTTGCCTATAATTTTCTAAGTCTTTACATAACTTTCTATAATATTGGCCACATCTGAAGTGAGGGGGAGGGGAGTTTATTTATTCACCCTGCCCAGTCTACTTTCAGATCTCTGTAGGAAAACATCATATTTAATTAGTAACATCTGTGTCTAGTCACGCAAATACTAGAAAGCCCAAATTTAGCTATGACACTCCACTGAAAGAAAAGGAAGTACACAAGTGTCAGGCACACAATACTTAACATTTTACACAAATGAAAATATACTGACCTTTTACTTGTTCATAACACTTTCATATATGCTATTTCTGATAATTCTGTGTAAATTTTGAAACTTTGTATTTTCTGCTTAAGTTTCTATTGTGATACACATTATATATACAATAGAACTACTTTTCAAAAATGTGACATGACAATCAACAATTTGTTATCAAGCTCTAAATTTCTGGAATGATGTTGACTAGTAGCAGGCTTTCCAAAAATGCCTTCTAGATTGTCTTTGTATCACTAAAAAATCTGCATCAAATGGAACATGCCTGAATGTTTCACAAAGTTAACTGAACCTAGCATTTACTATTGTTATAGAAATAATAGCATCAGGTCCATGTATATATAGCTGAATTTAAAAGGTTGGCTTGAAATCAATTGGACAGACATGAATAACTCAAATTAAGATCAACTGCCATTCTCTAGTCATTAAGAATTCAAGAGTATGATGGATGAAACTCTATCATCCAATAATGGGTGAATCCTTTCTTAACATCAAATTATCTTCTAGTAGAGCTCAGTAGACAAACTGGCTATTAAGAGCTTTCACCTTAACATTTTTAGTGACAATACTGTACTTGAGTTCCTGTATCTATTATGAAAAAGTCATCATTAATCCTCAAATGATCTACTAATTATAATATTGCTCAGATGTTATAATACTGTCTTGGTGGTTTAATAGGTTTTCCCCAAACCTCTACCCTCTGCTCTAATCATTTTGAGGATGAAAGGCTTAATGCTCCAAGGAGAACTAACTAGAAACCTAGAAAGCCAGTGGGAGAAAACATCTATAAATCTCAAAACAAAACCGCAACAAAAAAAGATGAAAAAAAATGAAGCAGGTTAGAGGAAAAGTTGTAGTGGCAGAAATGAGATTAAATGTTTTCTTTTTATAGGATAAAAGTGAATTGGAAATCTATCTCTTTGTCTTAAAAGGCATACATTTTGATAATGGGCAGGCCAACAGATGATGTTACAAAAAGGATTGCAAAAAGCAAATTATCTGAGTATTAATCACATTTACTAAATGGGACATAGCAAAAAGTGCAGCAAAAATGGGCTTAATGATTAATTTGCTCAAGTCTAGAATATTATGACCCTCCACCTAAACAGAAATCACGTGAAGCCTGAGACCAACTAGCTATAACCAAAAGGGTACTATATAGCTATTTTGTATACCTGGACCCGGAGTGGCAAATAATCCTCACAGAGATCATCCCACAGCTCCTGCAGGTCTGAAATCTCCAAGGGATAACTCACAGGTGTTTTGTAAAGGGGTTTCAAAGACCTATTAAGGAAACCGGAACTAACTCCATCAGTCATGATATGGCCAGGCTTGGCTCCAGGTGGGCTGGATTTCACTGGAATGGGAAGCTTGCTCCCTCGGGGGCTCTGGATGGGTTTATAATCAAGACCTTTAATCATGCTAAGAGCTAGCTCCAACTTGTGATTACACACGTGCTGTGTAGCCTGTTCATCTGAACAATAGTCACACTTTACAAGTTCCTTTGCACTTCTCTCCGTTTCCTCATCTTTCTGTTGTGGAGGACTAGCCTGGACACTTGCATCCAAAGATTCCACGGAGGAACCCGGCGTCTCTTCCTCCATGCTTTCTCCATCTGGGGGTGCCTTTGTGATTGGTAAATCCGGTGGCCCAACCTCAGACAACGCTGGTTCTTCAGTGCAAATGCTGGTAGACCATCTGCTAGAAAGGCCACAAGAGATACTTCTGGCCACCTTTCGAGGCACCTTACAAATGGCTTCATAATCAGAATCGGCAACCCGCAAAGCTGCACAACCTCGGCATCTCCTGGGTCGGTTTCCAGGGCCTTCCGAAGCATGGCAGCTGTGTGGCTCCTGAATCTGATCTTCATTTTCTACCCAGCACTCAAAGCCTGAATAGGCAAAGTCTTCCTGGAGCAGTGCAGAGTATCTCACGTCGGGTAAGACGGACATGTCCACCGTCCCATTCCCCGCCTTGGTCTCCGCGCCAGAGTCATCGTTATTCTTCCGATACATACTAGCGATGCAGAATTTGAGGCGATCCTTCTCCAGCAGCAGCTTCTGCAAGCGCTCAATAGAAAGGGCTTCGATCCGGGCAATAACGGTGTCGAACCTATAGATGCGATCAAGCATGAAAGCACACTTGCTGCAAGCAAACTCGGCTTTGCCATCGCGGGGGACATCCTTGCCCAGGACATGCGAAAGCAGGACCTGGAGGTTGAGCTTGGACGCCGTGTGGAAGATCCAGCGCCGCTGGTTTCCGCACAGCTCCCGGGCACAGATCCTGCAAATCTCCTTCATCTTTCCTGCCGGCGGGTGCCGAGCTTCCCCGAGACGGCGGCGGCTGCTGGGTGCTCACTCACCGGCTCTCGGCTGCGCTCCGCCTCGCGCCCCGGCGGTCTCCGGTCGCATGGCACAGCCCGGCGTGGTCCCACTCCGCAGGGGCGCACCTCTGCCACCGCGCGCCGGCTCCGGGTACCAGAGCGCCAGCCCCGCCCCTCGGGCAGCGGGCGGGCGTGGAAACGCCTCAGGGGGATGCTGAGTGACAGCGGCGCAGGCAGCGCTCGGGCCCTGCCATGTCCCCTACAGCTGGCTCTCGCGCCAGCCGCCGCGTCCTCAACGTCCTCCCCCGCTGGCAGGCTGGGCTCCCGGTACGCCCGAGGCCACCCGCTGCTGACGCAAAGCCTCGGAGGCTGAGGATCAGATTTCAAGATGGCGCCGCAGCCGGGCGCCTGCGGCCTGCGTGGGGCTCCTCTGGGAGCTGTAGTCCTGGCGGCCGGCCTCTCGCTCTGCGCATGCGGGGTGGCGGGAACGGCCCCTAGCCCCAAATCCGGTCGCCGCCGCTCGCGGGGGAACGCAGACCCAGCTCACAGTGTGCGCGGAGTGGAGGGCTGGCCGGCCGCTGACCACGGCCAGGCCACTTGCGTCTGCTGAGAGCTCACCTAAAAGGGCCACCAGTCCCCTCATGGATCCTCCCGCCTCTGCAGGATGTCCTGAGGCTCCTCGTGGGGAGGAGAAAGCTGACTCCCCTCCCCCGGTGTCCACGGGCAGTGCCACGTACTCTGGATGGAGCAGCCTGGCGGCGCCGCTAGGTACCGCTGCGCGCCGCCTCCTCCCGCCTGCAGCCCCACCTCCTCTCCCTACCCTGGCGGGTGCTGGGTTAAAGGCCCTGGGGCTGCGAGGCGGGTGTGAGGAGGGCTAATAACCGTCGGGGGTGGGTGGAAAGTTCAGTTCTACCCTTCCCTTGATTATTGAACAGGAAGATCCAGAAAAGAGAGGACAAGTAGTTCTTCCCCTCGATGTTGTGAGGTGGCGGGAGGGTTATTACCCCTGGGTGACTTGCCCTTTAAAAAAAAAAAAAAAATCAAGACAGGGCACAGAGCAGTCACTTGAGAAAGGGTCCAGCAAATACCATGTGAATGCGTCTGGTTAGCCAAGATTTTGAAGATAATAGAAGAGAAATGGGGTTTTTCAAGAATGTTGCCACCTGAGAATAGATTGCCATCAGCGAATTCTCTTTCAGGCTCAGGTCACTACAGTCCTTATGTGAGGGGTGTGGAGTGTAGACAAACACTAGCACAAAAGACTGAGCTTTCTTTGAGCTAGAGAGTCCAGGGTGTCCGCCAGTGCTGCTCTCTTCAGAATTAGGGCTGGGAATTTCACTGACTTGGATTAGTACCTTGCCTTATTCAACATTATACAGTAGTAAGCCCCCCACCCTTGGGTACAGAACCTGGAATACACACAAGAGGAGGGAAGCAGGAGCTCTGACTAGGTAGAATGTAGGTACCACCGACAGTAATAAAGGAGATATTGTATCTTCTTGGCTTGAGAGATGTGCAGGCACCAGACAGGAGGAACAATAAGCAATCACTTAGAGTCCCTCAGAACAGGACATTTCCTAGTTACCATCATGCTAAATTTTACTAACTTGGCCTTGTGAGGTAAGACCAACAGCATCTAGGTTTTTCTGAACCCTATCCTCAAGACAAAACCTACACACTAAGAGACATCCAAATGCCTTCTATGAGAGATCAAAATGAACCGTCAAATTTCTTATTGAAGATTAAATGAGATGATTTTGGGGAAATGCTTTAACAGTGTTTAGCTCATTAAATAATAGCTAATATTGTTATTTTAGTATAATAGTGGAATATTTTAAAGCAATTTTGAAACATGTGGCTATGCATACATAAGATATTGTTCTCTTAGTTAATCACCATTGTAGCTCCATTGTAAGAGAGAAAGACAGTCCTTAGAGCTTTGGGTTTAACAGACTACAGAATTTTGCATATGTAATTTCACCTAATATGTATATTCTGATCCTAAAACCAAGAATGTACAATAAAGTTCCAAGTGATACTACAACTGTATTTTTGCTTGCCCCTAGGTATGTGAGCTTCAAAGTCAGAAAAAAATTAAGCAACAATCTGGACTCTACAGTGATCCATAGAAAGGCAAGGAGTCTCTGCACTCACCTAGACTGATGGACAGATTGCCTGCCAGGACATTATTACCCTGTTATATCCAATCTTAAGTATTGTCCTGAAGAGCAGCAAGGACTAAAAGATCCATAAAAGTGTAAATTAAGGCATTAATCATGGTGTCATCTTTGACAGACAGTGCAAGCAAGCCACATTTTCCTACTAGGAAAATGCTAATGACACAAAGTGCCTTTCAGGAGCTAACCCTGAATACTAAATACTTTGTTTTGTTCTCTGTTCCTTAATAGGATTTTGTATCTGATAGTCTCCATATTTTAATGACAACGTATAGATAGCTTGGTGTTAAGATCCAAAGGGATATACACCAAGTTGTTTGTAGTGGTTATGTCTGGAGAATAGAATTATGGACATTTTTTTTTCCTCATTTGTTTTCTGTAATTTTCCACAGTATGTATTGCTTTTGTGGTAAGAAAAAAATATTTGTTACTAATAAAAAGGTAGTTAAACACATTTTGGTATATTCATATAATACAATACAGTACTCACTGGCAATAAAAAAGAATGAACTCAGATATGTGCAACATGGATGAATCTTAAAAACATGTTAAGTGAAACAAACCATATCCAAATAAGTACATCCTGTATGTTGTATGATACCACTTATTTGAAGTCTAGCAATAGGAAACATAAATCTATAATGATAGAAGTCAGCAAGTGGTTGCAGGGTAAGAAATAGGATGAGAATTGATTGCACAAGGGCACAAAGAAATTTTCTGGGATGATGAAGATGTTCCATAACTTGTTTTAGATGATGGTTACATGGGTGTGTACAACTGTCAAAGCTTGTTGAACTGAGCACTTAGATCTATAGATTTTATATATATTAGTATATTCTAATTTTAAAAGATAAAGAGTAAATAAAAGTATGTATTGCCCCAAAACTTTTTATTTTTTTTTTTTGCCCCAAAACTTTTAATCTGGGGGATTTCTTTGGCAGAAAGTAACCCCACTTTAAACATAAGAATAGTATTGAAACTTGGGAAGATAAAATGTATCCAGAAGAAATTCTATAAAAGGCCCAATTGTAAATTAAAAACTTTGTAGTTCCTAGCCATATGGCCTTTGGAAAATATTATTTTATATGCATGTGCATGCCATACATTTATGATTAAAGCAAGTCATGTTGTTAAGGTAAGACTTAGCAAGGGTTGTGACGATTTATAATAGTATAGGATGATTACTTCTAAAACTTATTGAAGGCACATAATAAAGGAAAATTTGAGAATAAGTTTCATATTATGATAAACTATTATGATTAAACAAACTATTAGTTTTATATGTCAGCAGTTTGCCCTCAAAAGGGATTGGTAAATACATTTACAAGCATTATTAGCTGTGTGTCCCAGGTCAAGTCACTTATATCTGGCCCTTAATTGCCTAATCTACAATAAAATATGTTGAATTTAAATAGCAGTTTTCAAACTTCAGCATGCATCAGAATCACCTGGAAGGCTTGTTAAAATGAAAATTGCTGGGACCTACCCCCTTGAGTTTCTGATTCTGTAAGTAGGTGTGGGGTGGGGCCCAAGAATTTGCATTTATAACAAGTTCCCAGATCATGCTGATACTGCTCTCTGGGAACCATGCTTTGAAAACCACTGAAGGAGAACTCTTCCTAAGCTGTATTAGTCAAAAAGATCAGAAGTTCTACAGATAAATGGAAAAACACATTAATGAAGAATTACTTTCAAAAATCTATGTTAAATTCAGAGAATTGTATTTCCATTTGGAATAAGATTCCTAAGTATTACTGTGGTAGGGGTCTTTTGCACTATTTCTGTGTTGACCTCTACATTTTGCAGTCTGAGAAGTGTCTCTTAGAACCATAGCCACGTTTATACCCCCTTTGTGGCAATAGAATTGTCGGGTTTTTAAGACATAATTCTGGGCTAGGAGGGAGTTTCCAAGAGAACCGGAGAAGTGGAAAATCTCCATGTCCCAAACCAGTTGTATTAGGTTTCACTGCCCTAGTTATGACATTGGAAATAGCTATTCTAATTATTAAAACTATGCCAAAAAAAAAAAAGTGTGATTTTGGCAAACAAGCTAAGGCAGATGAGGAAATGCAAGAATGTAAAAGTAAAGCCAGTTAGGGTTTTTGGTAATACACGAGCAGGTGTGTGATTTCCCTGTGCTGGTTTGAAATCTTAAATCAGAAACAATCATCCTTTGCATTAATTAATAACAGCATTTCAAAACATTTGTTTTAAAACCAAGGGATTTCCAGTTTATCTACAGATTGTATTAATATGGTTATCACCAAAATCCATCTGATAATAAACATTAGTCTTTCAAGTTAAGTCATTAAATATCCCTAGCTTGTTAAGTAACTTTTATTTTATTTATTTATTTATTTATTTATTTTTGAGACAGAGTCTCGCTTTGTTGCCCAGGCTAGATTGAGTGCCATGGCGTCAGCCTAGCTCACAGCAACCTCAAACTCCTGGGCTCAAGCAATCCTACTGCCTCAGCCTCTCAAGTAGCTGGGACTACAGGCATGCGCCACCATGCCCGGCTAATTTTTTCTATATATATTAGTTGTCCAATTAATTTCTTTCTATTTATAGTAGAGATGGGTCTCGCTCTTGCTCAGGCTGGTTTTGAACTCCTGACCTTGAGCAATCTGCCAGCCTCAGCCTCTCAGAGTGCTAGGATTACAGGCGTGAGCCACCGCACTCAGCCAACTTTTAAAGTATATGTTAAATCAGTCAATGAGAAAGAATGCAAACTCAGTATGTCTTTTCTCTGTCTTCAGTGAGCTTTCAGTTTAGTTGAAAGTGAGAAAAAGTGCATGCTACAGTTAGAACAATTGATTGGTAAACTAAATGATACTGACTTAAATTCAGTGTGAGTGCAGAAAAAGTTATTAGTATGGGCTGGTATAGTTGAAGGGGTAGGTATGGCACCTGAGAGGGGTATTAAGATGGAGGAGGCAAAGGAAGGGCCTCCAATAAAGAAAATAGCATCCTCAAAGGTATGAAAGTTGAGATAAACACAGTGCTAGGCTATAGGTAAAGAAACTGTTGGAAATTTTTGAATGGCCAGGTTCATCCCTCCATAGTCCTCTATAATTGTTCATCTACAGAGAACTTGTATCAAAGGCCAACTGTAAGCCAGACACTATGCTATGCAGGGCCTTGGCAACTAGAATTTGGTTAATGTTTTGACAAAGAAAAAAAGAATTTGGACTTAATTATAGACTTGCGCATTTTAGGAAGATTAGCCAGGCAACAGGATGGACTGCAGTTTTAAGATGACTATAGGAAGACCTGCTAAAAAGACATTGCAGTTGTTTATGTGTGGAGTAATAAAATCTGGTATAGAAATGGAAAGAAAGTGGTAAATATGAGAATCACCTTGAAGGAATGAGCAGTGTTGGTGACATACTCAGAGAGGATGAAAGAAAAGGGTTAAAGATGGAGATAATGGTTTTGGATCTGGAAGACTGGTAGAAAAATGGCATAAACTAACAGAAATGTGGAAGTTGGGGAACATTCATTTGCAAAAAGATAATGAAAATTTTGATTTGGGACATGCTGAGTTTAGGTGACTGAGAAAACTAAATGCAAGACTAAGTGGAGCTGTCCCACAGTCTGTGCACAGATGAGAGGGGGAAAGAGTTTCAAGAATGACAGGGATGGCTAATATTGTCAAAGGCTAAAGAGAAAGTATCAGGATAGATGAGGTCAAGCATAACATTTCCTGATGTGAATGGGTGTGACTGAGTGGACTTGCAAACATCAGAGTATACCATTAACTCCTCAGAATCCTTCCCTATCAAGCCAAATGCTAAGTTTTTCCCAATCATTTTTCTGAACAAACCTAGCATGTATATCTTGCTTCACATTTTCCCTACTTTTTCCATTTCAGGTTCTTAAAACCTGATACCTGAACTATATCACACAGCCTTAGAAGCTTATGCCTCTAATTATCCTTCATATTACTTCCAGAATGTTCATAGTAAAGATCTATCATTGTCCACTACCTATAAGATGAAGTCTAAAACCCTTAGCCTGGCATTTCAATATCTGTACAAAAAGATCCTAACTTACTTCGCTTCCAGCTTTATCTCATACTTCTTCCGTAGCCAAACGGGAACATGGTAAACTTTTGGATATAGATTTGTTTTGTTACCTCTATATCCCTGCCTCCCTCTTCACTAATTTGCTGGCCATGCCTTTAGCATTCCCTTGACTCAGTAATTTTTGCAGAGCAAAGAGCAGAGGCTGTTTGAAGTCAAATGCATTTCTAGACTTTTATGAAATTCTAAGCCCATTGAGAAGATTGAGTCAGGTGTCCTATGGGGAGGAGTGATAGAAATGTCTTTGAAGTCAACAAAAGAGGAGAGGGTGAGATTTCACCCACATTGGCAGGAGATTGGAGATCAAAAAGTATTAATAATAAGGATTCACATCCATTCCATAATAGTGACCTGGAAAAGTAGCAGGATCTCAGAGGGGAAGGCAGTAGGATAATTTGGAAAAGTTGGACTTTAGATCAAAGAGTTATGGCTCCATAAAGGTTCCAATACAGTAAGCTGTTAGTGTTGGCAAAACCTTGTATGCTAAGGTGGGGGTGCTTTAGTGGTAGACCAATGATCAGAGTAGTCTCCTTGGTGTTTTGGAACCTGGTGAAACCTAGGGACCTTTAACCTTTACCTTTAACCTAACTGAGAGCAAGTAAGGAGAGTCAAAAATACCAAATGTATGAAATTGAATTTCCCACCAGCCTGATTAAGACAAGGACTTTAAATTGATTTAAAGAAAGTAATGTGATATTTCTTGTATAATTGTGAGATTTGTGAACAAAGAATCATCCACTATAAACCTTTTTGTGGGTGTTCATTGGTGCTCAGTACTAGACCTTTTCACCTCTCTCTTTTTATTCTCTTCCAAAGTCGTCTTGTCCTTTCCCGTCTTTATACCAGTGGCTTCCAGTTTATATCTTTATCCCAGAATTCAGCTTTCAAATAGCCAGTTACCTATTTGATGTCTACATATGTATGTGTCATAGACATCTCAAAATTACCATAGGAAAGACTGGACTATTGACTGACATTTTCCCTTTGTCTATAGTACCCCCTTTCCTTCTAATACTCTTTATTAGGAGGCAGCAAACTATAGACTGTGGGCCAAATCCAGCCCCCACCTGTTTTTGTAAATAAAGTTTACTGGAACATAGCCATGCCCATTCCTTTATGTATTGTGTATGGCTGGTTTTTTTTTTGGCTACAGTGGCAGAAACTTTACAGCCTGCAAAGCCTAACTTATTTACTATCTGGCCCTATACAAGTAAAGTTTGCCAATCCCAGCTCTTTGCTTTCTTCAATGTAGTTATCACAATTTGAAGTTATTTGTCTGATTACTTGGTTATTTATCTGTGTCTCCCATTAGAATGTAAGCTCCCTGAGGAGAAGGCCCCTGCCTTTCTTATTCTTACTATTTCTCCAG